TTGATGCCCTTCTACGGCCCTGTTCAGCTCTCCTGGTGTAACGGCCGGTCTCCTGGTATCTGGTATCAACCTGATTGGGCTGCAGGTGCCGCCTCATGCTACCAGCAGTGCCAAGGACACTAGCAGAAGACCAAACTAGAGAAGAGTCAGTCAGGAAGGATTAGGAGAGAGCATCTGTCTGTGGACACCACATGTAAAACCATTTCCTGTTTGTCTCTTTGATTTGACCCAAAGCAGCTGAAACTGATTCACAGTCACTGGATTGAAGTTTGACTGACTTCCTGTCAGACTGTGACTAATAAGGGTTCCCTTCAGATTTTTGAGCAGTGTATTTCCTGGTGAGATATGAGAGGAGCTGATGTTTTAAGACAGCAAATAAAACTATTTCTAAAAGTTTGAATTCGACCAAATTTAAGTTCAATACCTGCCGGCACTAAAATCTGCATCTATGATTAACATTATATTCATTTGTTGAAGAGGTTTTTGTTTTCAGAGTGTAATCCTGCTGCTCAGTGGACCGTTCTGAAGAGCTGGAGGATAAATCAAACACACAGTCCTCTGATGGCACGTGGAAACCTCATGACTTCAGTCTGTACTCAGACTCAGAGGCTGTCCAACGCTAACTCTGTGACTCTGAGTACATGTTCTGAACTTTGTGCCCCTAAAAACTTCTCTTTCCAGACTCTGTGTATGCTCAGATACATTTATGTAAATTGATGAGAAAATGAGCCGGGCTTTAACCCGCTCTCACAAAGCAGACTTTTTTGGAGATAAGGGGTTTTCATGTCTCCAGATCAGATTTGTTCAGAGGCTTTTCTCCGCTCAGCCATCCTTCTGTTCTCCAGAATATTCTGTGGTCAGCACAGTTCACTGTGAAGCAGCCGCAGACAGACGGACGGACGGACAGACAGACGGACGGATGGAGGGACTGGAAAATTTGACTTTTTACATCACTTTTAAATTCAAATCCTGACTTTCTGAGGATGCCACATTTACTTTTATATTGTTAGAGGTTTTTTTTTTTTTTTTTTGCTTTTGTTTTGTTTTTGTCTTTCGGGAGAGAAGGAATTAATCTGCCTGGAGAAGAAGCTCCAGATTTTTAGGTTTACATGTCGAATGTAAAAAGTCAGATTTTCAAAACCACAGAAATATATTCCTCTCTCTGTTTACGGCTGCCGACCAACACTTGATGAATTTGACGCTACTGACCACAGCTTTACCACCCTCCTCTTCCTCCCTGCGCACGCACACACACACACACACACACACACACACACATACACACACACACACACTCTGATGCTTTTGTGTCCAATCTGTCACGTCCCTCCTGTTTCCTGTGAACTTGCTGTGTAACAGACCGTCACCAACAAACTAACAAACCTTCATCAGTCTGTCGTCAGTGAGGAGAAAAGACTTAAAGTCAGACTGAAACTGAAACTGCAGCAATGAGACAAACCACAGAGACGTCAGGAAATTATATATGTGTGTGTGTGTGTGTGTGTGTTTGTGTGTGTGCGCGCACAATAGAATTAAATACAACAGAAGAAACAAAAATATCGCTATGGTATATTGTAAAACGATGAACAGTAATATCAACAGGAAACTAAAAAAGAGGAAACTAGAAAAATGTAAAATTCAGGAAACTGCAAAGGGGAACTACAGCATACTAAATCAATTAACTGCAAGAAAAAACAACAAACTACAGGAAAGGGAACTACAAATAACTAAAATGCAGGAAACTACAGAAAACTATAAGAAACTTAACTTCAGGAACCTACAAAGAGAGAAAATACAGGAAACTATAACAAAATAAACTACAGGAAAACAAAAACAAAAAAGGAAACAAACCTTTAGAAAACTACCACAAAATAAACTATGGGAAACTACAAAAAAGAAGGAAAACTTAAAAAAGGAAACTTAAAGCTCAGTCAACCATAGCAAACTACTGGAAAAGGAAACAACACGAAACTACCAGAAAACTAAATAACAGGAAACTACCAAAAAATTAAACTACTACAAAAAGAAACTTCAGGAAATTACCTCCAAGGAAACTAGAAGAAAGGGAAACTTACAACTCAGTAAACTGCACAAAACTACTTTAAAGAAAACTATAGGACACTACACAAAAGGAAACAACTAAAAAATGAGACTACACAAAACTACAAGAAACCCAAATTACAGGAAACTACTAAATAAGGGAAACTGCTACAATAGGAAACTACTGAAAAGTAAAGGCAACTACAAGAACATAAACTATACAAAAAGTCAACAAGAAAATGGAACTGCAAATACAGTAAACTACAAAAATGGCACTACAAGAAACTACAGGAAATTACGGAAAATTTAACTGCTAAAAAGGAAACTACATACATCTACCAATAAGTAAAGTACCAGTGGGAAAAAATAAACTACAGAAAGCTACAAAAACAAAACTACAGGAAAACCAAATTACAGGAAACTACTAAGTAAGGGAAAGTGCTACAATAGGAAACTACCAAAAAGTAAAGTAAAGGCAACTACAAGAACATAAACTATACAAAAAGTCAACAAGAAAATGGAACTGCAAATACAGTAAACTACAAAAAGAAAACTACAGGAAACCACAAAAATGGAACTACAGGAAACTACCAAAGTAGATTACAGGAAACTACAGGAAATGTAACTACTAAAAAGGAAACTACATACATCTACCAACAAGTAAAGTACCGGTGGAAAAAATAAACTACAGGAAACTACAAAAAATGAAACTACAAAAACAGTTAACTAAGGAGGAGACTCTGGACAGTTTGTACTTTAAAAGTCATATTTACTTTGACTTGATGTTTTCAACTGATGTGATTTTCAGTCAACAGCGATATTAAAACAAACAAACAAACAGCCTGATTTCAGTCTGACTTTAACGTGTCTTTTAGTGAAATCAGCAGAATGTGATTGGCTGAGGGTTACTGTGACAGTTTGGAGAGGACAGCTCACTGATAGGCTCTCCCAAACTTCACCACACTTCCTGTTGAAGAGAAGCCCCACCCACTAGGAGTGCTGTTTTTCTTTATGGATTTATTTTAAACAGACTGCATGCTATTGGATGAGAGAGAGCTAAGCCACGCCCACTAAAACTGAGTGATGCATGTGACAGAAAAACAATCAGTGATGTCATGAGTAACAAAAACGCAGCAACCAATCAGATCCCCCCTTTTTCTTAAAGAAAGATGTAAAACTTTATTTCTTTTGTACGAGTTGACAGAAGTTACGTAACGACAGTGAAGAACAGCACGGATGTTATTTTATTTACACTGAATATAACTGTGACTCTGTGAACCGGTGGGTGAAGAAACTTTATTTAAAGCCAGTTAATTAACAAAAACAATCCGTCTGTAGAGATGAGTTCTTTCTTTGTGTTCCTTCACTCTGTTTGCATTCCTGTGCATGAAACTGCATGTGACACATATATTAATATGGATTAGCAAAGGCTGCGACTGGAGGCGATGGTGGAGGTCATTTACCCTCAGCAGAGATGAACATTAAAGGGGAACTCCACCAATTTTACATCAAGTTGGTAAACTTGAAACAGATGATCAAATCAAGTTAACTGTAAATCTTGTGCAGCTTTCAGCATATAGTACAAGTCATGCTCCAAATATGCTGGTTACTGCATTTCCCATAATGCAGCTGAATTTATAGCATTTGTTTACCCCTGTTCTATATTCCTGTTTTCATTTTTCTTTAGAGGATATCCTAAATGTTTCTGAAGACAGAAACTCTCCTGGATGATGTTACAATCGCACAGCTTTATTTTACTGACCGCTTTCATTTTTAATGTATTTTTTATTTAATTTTAATTTTATTAATTTGATTTATTTATTTATTTATTTATTTATTTATTCATTTTTATTTTAATTATTCCAACCTTGTTTCTGGGATATGATATTTGCTTAAGCATGGTGAAGGTATCTAAATACTACAATACCCATGAGTCCCTGGACCTGTTTCTAAGAAACTGGTAAAGACAAAAAAACAAACAAACAAACAAAAAAAACTTGAACTTAAACTATTGTTGAATTTTTGAATTCAAACCAAAATTCCAAACCAAAAAGTAAGATTGGCTTCCTGTGACATCATCCATCCACTGAGTGAGAGCATACGGGTCGGCCAGTCTGGTCCCGTTGGTCAGTGTTTACTTATTCAAGTAACACTGGCGGTCCCGGAGAGTGAGTGACCTGACATGGTGCGTTGGTAAATTCAGTCTGACGCTCTACACTAATATGAGAGCCCTGTTGGTGGAAGAAACGCAGCGTTATATTTCTACATGAATGAACCAACGGTTAAGTTAATCACACATTCACTCCGCTCGGCGCTCTGCTGCTCCGTCTCCACAGACAGAGTGTCCAGAGTGCGCTCTGCCACTCTGAGAGTGCGCTGCTCTGGATAACCCAACGCTACATTCAGACAGCGCTCCCATTTTATCAACGCTCCAGTTTGTGTCAGAGTGCGCTCCCACACTCACAATGAGTGTTTCTGAACGCACCACTCACATCATCTTCCTCCATCGTCTAAAACAAGACAACACAACTTGTTAGCTAGCGCTAGCTAATGTCTGTGGAGAACTGTTTTGCCTCCAGCTAAGCCCCGCCCACCAACAAACATCACTCTGTTCACTAACAGTAAAAGAATGTAAAAAAAAAAAAGTTTTTTTTTGTTGTTTTTTTTCACTCAGGTTGTGTCACAGCTAACAGGATTTGAGGCTCTGTGATTGGATGTTTCCTGCCTAAATGCACCGTGGTAAAATCAGTGAAGTTCCCCTTTAAAGATTAATTTAACTATACAGCCTCGTCATCGTCACAGCCTTTGAAACTGAAAAACGTGTCTCTGAATTAGACAAGATTGCATCACCCTTTGTCTTTTTTTTTGTTTTGAGGATTTCTATGATTCTAACTGTAGTGATGTCGTGACTATCTGCACCGTGATTGGTTGTCCCTGACCCCGCCTCTCTGCGCTGACAGGACAAGACGAGCGCGCTCAGTCTGAGTAATGTGGCTGGAGTGTTTTACATCCTAATCGGAGGGCTGGGGCTCGCCATGCTGGTCGCTCTGGTCGAGTTCTGCTATAAGTCCCGCATCGAGTCGAGAAGAATGAAGGTGAGTCTGGTTCAGTCAGAGTCACACATTGTGACACACATTTTCGTACCTTTTTAAGATTGATTGACGGGGTTATGATGAATGCATGATTGGTTTGGGATTATCAGCTGCTCACGCTACGAGTATTGTGGCCAAAAGTAAAGTACTCTGATTGTTTACTTCAATAAAAGTAGAAATACTCTTTTACATTACAATCTTGCATTCAACAATAAATATAAATTGAACTCCAAAGTCTCTCTGTGGTCCCAGAGGAGGTCTGTATTGAACGGCGTTAAAGGGAGCAGAGCGACTGACAAATAAAATCATGTCAGCGCAAACAAACTTTGACACAGGCTGAACGAAGGATTAAAAAAAAACGTTATGAAACAACTGAAAAACTATATGAAAATTTCTGTGCAGCATAAAGAAAAAATGGTGGCTCTACACAGCTGCAGATAATGTTCAACATTTACAGTCTAAAATGACTCGATGCAACATCAGTTGAAAAACTCCTGCACACTGTCGTCCGGCAAAAATAATGATTTTATGCTCAGGTTTGTCTGATGAAGGTCAAGTTACCAAAACGTTGCAGCATTCAAATTATTATTTAATGTGCAGGTGTTTTGCTGCCAGTTGTGTTCTGCTCGTCTTTCTCCTCACGTTCCTTTATCTGATCTAACGCCTATTAGCTGATCTCTGAAGTTGAAAGGACAGCTAACTCTGACCTTTAGCCAAATTTTTGTTTCGTTGTTCATTACTGTACTTAAGTTAGATTTTTTATTCTTGCGAGTACTCAAATATAAAATGACATTAAATGCCCATCGCTGGAGCAAACAGGCTTCGACAGAAAGCCGAATGAAAGACGGCAAAAAAATGTTTTAAAATGTCTGAAAAACTGTAAAAATTCCTGCACAGTGTTATCCAGGTGTCCTGTGTCCATTCAGTGGCTCATGGGAATCCAAACAAAGCATTTTTAATCCATCCGTGAAGTAATTTGTTGCGGGCTTGCTTTGTTTAGCAACGATTTCACTTTCCATGAGCCCACAAATGGATACACGACACTTGATGATGCTGCACAGGACGTTTTATAACCTTAATTACTTTGTTTTGTTCAGCTTCATTGAAGTCATTTTGCTCCAGCACACTGCATTTAAGTTTCAATTTCCATATTCCAGTACTCGCATTAATTAGCGAGTTTACACAAATAAAAAATCTGACGTAGGTTCGAAATGAACACCCAAGCAAAAATGCTCATAATTAGGGTTATCATTTCTTTCTGCGCTGCACAGACTTTAGAAATTAGCTATGATTCGTAGGTTTAATGTTACACAGCCTGCACTGCACAGTCATTTCGTTTATTTTGTCGTAGTACTTCCAAACTTTACTCTTATGCCTGATCACCATTCTGCCTGTAACCTTTGATTGAGTGATGTCTGAAAATGTTGAATGTTATCCACAGTTGCACAGATCTGTAATTTTTGCTGGTTGATCATTGCATCCAAAATATGCAAAATTTGAATCCAGAACAAGGGGCGGCACGGTGGCGCAGTGGTTAGCATGGTCACCTCACAGCAAGATGGTTCCTGGTTCCAACACCGGAGCATTTTTGTGATTCAAGTGTATTTTCTTCTGTTTTACGAATGGATCTGCAGCGAGTGTGTGTTGAGGTTAAAAAGCAGGTGACTTGCACTTAGCACTGTGTCTAAACCCAACCTGTGTGACAGACTGCGCTCTGAAGCTGCTGCTTTTGTTGCACCAGCTGTGCAGACACTGTGGTTTCATGCGGCTCTCTATCAAGGCCGACACGAGTGCTGCTGGTTGTGATGGTTTGTCTGCCCACAGAAAAGTGACGGACAGTTACATTGAACAGCCCACCCCTCTGCACACCACCGCACCACCAGAAAAAATGTGATATTGTGAATATTTGTGGTGCTTCAGAGAGCCATGCATCGCTTCACATCATCTTTGGGCAAAGTTTTATTTGTCATTATCAGACCTTTGTCTGTATGGTTATAGAGGCTCTCTGTGGAGCAGCCGCAGGGCAGGAGACCCGACATTACTGCCATTTTAAAGTGCAGCAGCTGAACTCTTGTTATGTGGCTCTCTGCTGCTCTCGAGCTCCTCTTCATCGCCAGCGTCTGTATGTGATGAAACTGCAGCTGCCTCATTACAGACTGGTGGTGGTTTGTGCTGAGACTTTGATGGGCTGCTCAGAAGGAACAAACAAGTCATTAGAGCCATTTTTCCTCAGCAGCAGCAGCAGCAGCAGCAGCAGTCTGTTACTCTCATCTCTGCTGGACTCTTGTTATTCTCTTCACATGTGAGTCTGAGCACAAAGACTTTAAACTCCTCTCGCTGAAGGCGCCAATGACCCAACATGTGTGGAGGATTTCATCAGTGTGAGCAGATGGAGGGGTGTGCAGAGAGAGGGTAACACTGCGGTTACCTGCTGTAGAGGTAGACGTGTTCTCATGGGACATGGGACTCAATATACCGTGCTACATTTTCTTCTGATACATTATTGATACTCAGACATAAATATTGCATTATGAAGAGAGGTGGATCTTTGCTTTACTGTCGACGTTTTAACTGTGAAACCGTTCTGCCATCTGCTGCTGAAATTACTCAGTTTATGGCATTGACATTACATTACATTATACGCATGTGACATCTCAGTTATTACAGTGTGTAGCAAACGTGCTGTTCTGTTTATGCTGTAACATGTAAAGTGTAAACCCTGCTGAGTTAAGACTAAGAGCCCCAACAAGGAAATGTGAGGGTAGCAACAGAGGAAAGGTCATAAGTTTCATGATATTTTTAATATATACCTAAAAATATAAAATATGACATCAATCTAATATAGATTAAGCAATATCACTCTGTGGTTGCATGAAAATACAGAATTTAACAGTATTGTGTTGTAATGCATATGCATAGATGGATTGTAAATAAATGTCAGAAAATGGTTAAAAACGTCATAGTATAGCATGTCGTCAGAAAATGGTGGAAAACGTCATAGTATAGCAGGTCGCCAGAAAATGGTCAAAAACGTCATAGTAGAGCATGTCGTCAAAAAATGGTCAAAAACGTCATAGTATAGCATGTCATCAGAAAATATACCAAAACATCATAGTATAGCATGTCATCAGAAAATATACCAAAACGTCATAGTATAGCATGTCATCAGAAAATATACCAAAACGTCATAGTATAGCATGTCATCAGAAAATATACCAAAACGTCATAGTATAGCATGTCGTCAGAAAATATACAAAAACGTCATAGTATAGCATGTCGTCTGAAAATGGTCGAAAAAAAACGTCATAGTATAGCATGTCGTCTGAAAATGGTAAAAAAAAAAAAAGTCATAGTATAGCATGCCGTCTGAAAATGGTAAAAAAAAAGAAAACGTCATAGTATAGCATGTCGTGACAAAATCGTCAAAAACGTCATAATATAGCATGTCGTCTGAAAATGGTAAAAAAAAA